AACTAAGGCTGATGAACGAAGCTATCCATCATCTGCTTCACATCAGGGCCATAGAACCCGTACCGCTGGATCAGAGAGGTCAAGGATTCTACTCCATCCTCTTTGTGGTACCAAAAGCGTCAGGGGGATGGAGGGCTATTCTAGATCTAAAGGACTTGAATTTTCATATAGCTTACCACAAATTCAAGATGCAAACGCTCCGGTCCATCTTGGGAAGCGTCAGAAAAGGGGACCTCCTGACGTCTATCGACCTCACGGAGGCGTACCTTCATATCCCTATCTCTCTGATCCATCGACGGTTTCTACGGTTTGCATACAAGGGGAATCACTTCCAATACAGGGCACTCCCCTTTGGCCTCTCATCAGCTCCGAGAGTATTCACCAAAGTCTTGGCGGTCCTGGCAGCACATTTACGATTGATACCAGTAAGAGTCCACTGTTACCTGGACGACATTTTGATTCAGTCTTCGTCCGTCCAGACAGCGTTGACGGACCTCAAAATGGTGATAAAATTGCTCCAGGACCACGGATTTTCGGTGAATTTTCCAAAGAGCCATTTGAACCCCACAACGAGGCTCTTACACCTGGGGGCCGTTATAGACACCTTGAAATGCCGGGTGTATCTCTCTCAAGATCGCAGGGACGGCATACGGGAGTCGATTCTTCGACTTCGCAGCAGTCGGTCGGCGACGTTGGTCAGTCTCTCCCAGTTGTTAGGGAAGATGATTTCTGCCATAGCGATAGTACCCTGGTCAAGGCTCCACACCAGAGAACTGCAAAGGTTCATGCTTCCCTTTCAGAGGCGGAACCTCAGTGCTTCGCTCAACAGAGTGGTTCTTCCTCACCACGTGCTATGTTCCCTCAGTTGGTGGCTGTCACCAGCCGTCCTCAGAGGGTTGTGTTTCAAGGAGCCGGACAGGATTGTCCTCACGACCGACGCCAGCCTGTTCGGTTGGGGGGCTCACATTCAGTCTCATTGGGTACAGGGCCGTTGGTCCGCATCAGATCTACGGCACAATATAAATTGGCTAGAGTTGAGGGCCATCCATCTAGCTCTTCGGCATTTTCGCCATCTAGTATCACGGCGACACGTCCTGGTCCTCACGGACAATGTGGCAGCCAAGGCACATATAAATCGCCAAGGGGCACTCGATCTCGGAGCCTGATGTCTGAAGCTCTTTCGTTGGGTCTCTGGGCGGAACGCAATCTGGCATCTATCATGGCAGACCATATTTCGGGGGTAGCAAACACACAGGCCAATCTTCTGAGCAGATCGACGATAGATCACGCGGAGTGGAGACTCCACCTGAGGATCTTCCAGGAGGTTTGCCTCCGTTTTGGTCTTCCTCTAGTGGACCTCTTCGCGTCCCAGTACAATGCCCATCTTCAACGTTTTTTCTCCCGTTTTCCGACAGTGGGGGCGGAACGGACGGATGCCCTTCGGAGCCCTTGGCCGCAGGGCTTGCTTTACGCATTTCCCCCTCTGCCAATTCTACCAGCGGTAATCCGCAAGATTCTTCAGAAGCGAGCGGAGGTTCTCCTGGTGGCACCCTTTTGGCCACGGAGGCCTTGGTTCGCAGATCTGGTGAATCTTTCAGTCAGCGACCCTTGGCGGATTCCGCCGGATCAGGTCTCCCTCAGCCAAGGCCCCATTCTGCATCCCGAACCCCAGTGGCTCCAGTTAGCCGTCTGGCACTTGAGCGCTCGATCTTAACTGGAGAAAGCTGCTCACAAGGGGTTATAAAGGTTATTCAGGCATCGCGCCGTCCGTCCACGAACCGCATATATGAGGCCACGTGGAAAAATTTCCAATCATGGTGTTCCGGGAGGAGGTTGTCACTTTCGGCACTTACTGTGCCAATTATCTTGGATTATTTATTGGAAGGTCTGGAAAAAGGTTTAGCCCCTAATACCCTTCGCAGGCAAGTCGCAGCCTTGTCTACAATCCTTTCATGCGACTCTGCTGAATCACTGGGTCATCACCCCTTGGTAAAGTCGTTCCTTAAGGGAGCCTCTAACCAAAATCCTCCTGTGGTACACAGATACCCCTCGTGGGAGTTGTCAAGGGTGCTTCGGGCTATTACTAAATCTCCTTTTGAGCCACTCAGGACATGTGACATTCGTTCTCTGTCCCACAAAGTGGCCTTCCTGGTGGCTATCACCTCTGCTCGTCGCATTTCGGAGCTGGCGGCGCTTTCGGTGAGAGATGACTTATGTGTTTTTCAACAGGATAGGGTTACCCTTCGGTTAGACCCTACCTTCGTTCCGAAGGTCAATTCCCTATTCCATAGGTCACAGGAGATAGTACTGCCTGATTTCTGCCCCAACCCGTCGCATGGGTTGGAGCGAGAATGGCATTGTTTGGATGTCCGCAGAGCCCTTAAATGTTATATTTCACGGACTGCGGAGTTCAGGAAATCGGAAGCCCTCTTTGTATCTTTCCACGCATCCACCAAGGGTCGGAAAGTGTCCTCTTCCACTGTTGGGAGATGGATAAAGGCGTGCATCGCCGGAGCCTATAAAGCTGAGTCGTTGCCGGTTCCGCGGGGGGTGACCGCCCACTCCACACGGAGCGCGGCTACTTCAGCGGCATGGGCCACTCAGGCTTCCATCAAGGAAGTTTGCAAGGCAGCTACTTGGGCTTCGCCTTCTCCTTTCATTAGGCACTATAAAATTGATAAATTTGCCTCTGCTGAGGCTAGTAAGCCATCCTCTCAAGAGGTTGTCCAAAATGAGGTTTCACGGTGAGCCCTGGTCAGACGATGGGTGGGAGTCCCTGTCATCCGAAACCATACAGGGTTACCACCTCAGAGGTAGAGTCACGACCTCTTCCGGCGTTGTCTTACCTGAACGCCTTTTCTCAGCACAGAGATGGAGACTCCACCTCCCTCCCTTGTACGTTTTGTATGAGCATAGGGCCAGTTAGTTTGGTGAGCCACAACGTCTTGCTGTCAGTCAATGGCTACGCTCGCGTCAAAGACTGGAGATCAACGGTCCAGGACGGGCGTGGCAACTTTGGCTGACTTGATCTGATTGGGCAGGAATACAGTCTACTACCCAATGGTGGAGTCTCCATCTCCGTGCTGAGAAAAGGCGTTCAGCTAAGACAACGCCCCTTCTATCACAGACATTTGTGGGAATAGTAGTTAGCTAAATGCCTGCTTTTGTGGGGGGAAAAGGAAGATGATAATATAACAATAATAGTTAACATTGATATGAAATCATGCCATATAAAAATACATAGATCTTAATGGCTGACAATAAAATAACTGCTCTCCATTATATACTAATTACTATTTAGATATTCCTGTGTTGCCTCATGTTCAAAAGTACCTGAATTCTGTTCAGTATATAGAGGAACTTCAGAAGTTTGTGGAAGATGATAATTATAAGTAAGTATATAATCTAGTCAATTGTAATATATTCATTATTAAATTTTTGTTTTTAAAGTAATTTTTCATAAAGAACAAAACAATACTTGTAGTTTTGTTTCATAAGTGTTTCAAATTTTTAGGACATTTCTGTTTATAGGCTCTCGTTTTTCATGAGTACTTTCTTGCTCTTTTTTTTCTTTTTTTTCTTTCTTGCTCTTTCTTTCCTAGAATATAACCCTTAGCTGTAAATATTAAAAATGAATGAATGAAAAGAATAAACAGAAAGCCCTGTAGTGGTTTAGGTATTGAACTAGGAATGAAATTCACTGGGTGAGCAGTAATTGTCTCCACCCAACCTGCAATACAGGGTTCTGATTTTTGAGGAGATTCCAATGTAATTTCCTTTGAGTTCCTATAGGAAAGGTGGAATATAAATCTAACAGATGAATAAGAATCAACAGATGTTCAAGATCTAAGACAATCTTAATCTATTATGAATTATTTGTTATATTCCCCTATTCTTAATCATCTTCCCTCCCAATTTCTTACTCTGTTATTAACTGCAGTATTTGGTATTCATCATATAAATCCATATTGGCCTTTTTAAAAAACTAATTGACATATAGCAGTTACATGTGCAACTGTTTCATTCTTCTTTTCTTTAAGTTATACAGAGTGGGAGAAAGTTTCCAGGAAATCACAGCATTTTTAAATGGCACTTCTAAATCACACATTTTTCTTTTAAAATGAAAAATGGGTATTTTGTATCTTACTTATTAAAAGAATTGAAGTTTTTTTATTTAAATCTGTCAAAATACGATAAGGGTTACTATTTATTTTGAGGTTTTTTTAAATTTATACGGCACCTAATTCATGGTTCGATACTACTCTGAGAAGCTAATTATTATATTTTTATCTCACCTTTTCATATGTGTAACTCAAGATGGTTAACATACTTAACACTCCTGCCTTCTACTTTCCCCAAAACAACAAACCTATGATATCTATTGGGCTGAGAGAGAATGACTGCCTAAGGTCATCCAGACATTTTCATGCTTAAGGGAGGGTTAGAAGTCACAGTCTCCTTGTTTCTAGGTCAGCACCTTAACCACCACCAATCTGGCTCAAGTGATTTATTGATGGATTCCTAGTAGGATGTCCTAGAACAGAGGCCCCCAAACTTTTGGGCACCAGGGACCGGTTCCATGGAGAGACGTTTTTCCACGGACCAGAGGGTGTGTGGTTTTATGTGCTACCTGTATCTTGCAGATGGGGCTTTGCTTTTTTGTGTGGCGCCGTTGCTGGCATGGCGCAGCCCGGTACTGGTCCACGGACCAGGGATTGAGGACCCCTGAACTAGAAAATGAAAGTAAGTGTAGATGTCTGAATTTGCAATTGGCAATATTTTTTTTTCTTAACACAGACTTTCATTAAAAATAGAACCTGGGACCAGTACCTCACGCCCCACTGCATCTCATGAAGATTTAGTTGGTAAGTACTCAACAATGAAACACTCTGATTCTACTCCCCAGTATTCCTATTTTCTGGATTTATAATATCCATAAAATATTTTTAAGCAAATCTAATTTAAGCAAACTTTAAAATAAACTAAAAAGAGAGGGAAATAGATAAAATTTTTGTATATGTACTTCCAAATTATTTTGAAGATTTTTGAAGAATTATAATAACAAACTTGTTCTTTGCTCTACTCATTTTATTTATTTTTTCCAGGCCCTGAAGTGGGTGTTTCTCCCCAAATGGTGCGAAAGAATGCTACTGCTGAAGGAGCATTGCTACCACCAACTCCTCCATCTCCTAGAAACCTGATGCCTCATGGGCATAGAAAATGTCACAGTTTGGGATACAAGTTAGCATTTCATTTGAGATTCAGTTCCTTCTGTTATTTAAATTCATTATACTCCAAATTATTGTTATTTAAAAAGCCATATATATGAACTAAGTATCTTCTTTGCCATTGACTTTTCATGCAGTGTGTATATTAGGTTGTTTAAATAGCTCAATACATGTATACCTTTTTATAAGTAAATACAAGATAAATATAAGTAAATCGTGATAACTGAGGATTATTAAATAATCTATTAAACAAGCCAAACTCAGATTTGCAGACAGGCAATGCAATTATGACATTGTTGGAACTCCAAAACAGAGAAACAGTCAAAAACAGAGAAAAGTCTAACAATACAATATGTCAATCTTGAGATATATATATAATTCTACCATCACAAAGTATTTATTGTTTATTTCACTGATTACAGAATATTTTTCTATTTTGTTTTAATTTCCTTTGCTTTATACTTCTCTGTATTGTTAGAGCTTTGAATAGGACATTTGGATTAGCAGGTTAACTCAGTGATCTAAATGGCTCCTTTCTGTTTTCAGGAAACAAAACAAATTAAGCATAAAGCAAGAAATTGTGTGTTTCTGTTTATAATGTTTTGTGAAATCATAGTTACAGTCATTAAACTGACAAGCCATGGTTTCATATTGATTTATAGACTGAACCCAATTGTTTATATATTGATTGATTATGCTTCATCAAGTCAATGTCAGTTCTTAGCAAATACAGGGATAGATTTTCTCCAAAATAATCTGTCTCTAACTTGGTCCTTCAGGTCTTCCATTGGTGCACCAGTCATTACTATAACTAAGTCCCTCTACCTTATTACTGATCATCCTCTTGCTCAGAGCAAAAGAAAAAAGAAAAAAAAGAAATGCAGTTAATCCTCATATTTAAACATTAGTTCCAAAAATTTAGGAATTAAATTGCAAAGTACATACATACAGCTTCTTGCTTGCAAATCACTTTATGATTGTAAATGTGGTTGGCAATCTATTTAGGCTGCTTGTGGTAAAGAAAGACCAATATTTAAACACTGGTAGCAGACATAACTTCCTAATAACATTTTCATTCTTCCATGCCCATTTCTAAATGTAATATTGGAATCCATTCTTTAATAGTCCATGTTCATAAATATTTGCCCATTGTTTATAAAGGTATAAAGTACATGTACATTAAAAGAAAAAAGCAGGAATTGTAGAATTTTAGTACAAAAATATTAACTAACTCATCTATGTCTATTTCATATCTATTATACAATTACATATTCTTGGGAACATTTATCTTTTTAAACTTTTTTAATTGCCTTTATTCTGTCTTTCCCTTTGGATTTGATTATTGAGGTCTGATCTATTATTAAATATACTTTTGGTACTGTGTTATATTTACTGTTTTAATAATGTGATCAATCTTAATGTATTTTATTATTTTTCTAGTTTCATTCATAAAATGAACACAGCAGAATTTAAAAGTGCAACATTCCCAAATGCAGGACCAAGGCATCTTTTAGATGATAGTGTCATGGAACCACATGCTCCATTACGGGGGCAAGCAGAGAGCTCCACTCTTTCCAGTGGAATTTCAATAGGTGAGATTTTATCTCCGTCAGTAAAAGTGTCTTTTGAAATTCAAATTTGTATAATTTTTTCATTATATTTATATGCTACCTCTCCTCCATATTATTTAAACAGCATGCATAGGCACTATCCACACAGCATACATAGGATAATGTATGCTGTGTGGATAGTGGCTGACTTGACCCGGCCTTAGGAAGAGATAGCCATGGACTTTATAGTCGAGCTTCCAGAGAGTGGAGGGCATATGGTGATATGGACAGTGGTGAACCTATTCTCAAAGAAGGCTCACTTCTCCACATGTTCCAGCCTCCCATCAGCCCAGAGATTGGCCAGGATGTTCCTGCAACATATTTACTGGCTATACGGAGTGCTTAAATGCATAATCTCGGACCGAGGGGTCCAATTTACTAGCAAGTTTTGGTGTGAATTTGTAAAGCTGATAGGGTCCTCCCAGGGTCTTAATTCATCAGCTTTTCATCCGAGTACAAATGAAGCTGCAGAACGAACCAATGCAATGATGGAATAGTACCTGCGTTGTTATGTCAACTACCAGCAATCTAACTGGGCAGAGCTCCTGCCATTCTCTGAAGTGGCATACAACAAAGTGGTACACAGTAGCACAGGGCTTACCCCATTTAAGATAGCTACAGGAGTGGAGTTTGTGCCAATACCAGAATGCCCAAGAGAGACCCCCTCATTGGTGAATTAGCTGATTGGGTAGATTCCCTAAAAGGCACTTGGGATAATGTGAGGAAAGCACTTGCCAAAGCAACAGAGAGTCAAAAGAAACAAGAGGATAAGAAGCAAGCTCCCCAGGGAACGTTCCATGGAGGAGATAAAATGTATCTATTCACCAAATACCTAAAGTTGAAGATTCCCTGTAAAAAGCTAGGTCCTAAATACATAGGCCATTTCCTGACCGTGAAAATTATTAACCCAGTAACTGTAGAAATGAAACTGCCTAGAGTACTGGGGAAAGTGCACCCAGTATTTCACTGCAGCCTGCTGAAGCAGGCTCAGGGATCGAAAATGAGACCAGTTGGGAAAGAAGCACTTGGTCCAAAAATGGTGGAAGGGGAAAGACATTACGAACGTAAGCAATTTTAGATTCTAGAGTTTATAAGGAGTTGGCTAATTCCAGAAGATGGTGCTAAATTGTTATTGTTCTACTTCATTTCTTCCATAGAGACACACAAACATAATGAAAGAAGAGGCACAAATGCTTATTCATTTACTAAACAAAGAACAAATACTATATACATATTCATATTCATATTTAATATAATGCAATTAAATTATATTATGCAATTAAACTATTTGAATTTAAGTGAGTTCTAACAGTTAAGTGGGGAGAGAGAAATTGAACATAAAAATTAGTATGCGCAATTAATCTCATAAACAAAACTCCCAGAAATAAGTTGTTTTCTTTTTAAACTAACTGTCACTGCAATTGAGTCAGTTTTATTATGGGTAGAGTTTTTTTGAAACATTTTTCAGGCTTGGTAAGTCATAAAATTAGAGAGTTTTTAAATTTATTCATTTATTCTGATTTTAGGTAGCAGTGATGGTTCAGAGCTCAGTGAAGAAACTTCATGGCCAGCATTTGAAAGGTAAGAGAAGTCAATATATTTTATATTTATTCATACGTGTATTTAACATATGACAGTTTTACATTTCCACGTAGAAAAGTGTACCAAGTGTACTAAACTTTCCTGGTACTGCTTTTTAATCAAAGCACTGCTTTTTCTACACATGGGTTATATATGTAAGACAAAAAATAATGGCTAAAGTAGTTCGATCATGCAGGTTTTCTGGAGGGTGTATTATCACTAATATTTTGGCAGGGATCTCAGAATCCTGTTTTGTAACAAATTTGTTCAAAGGGAACATATGCAGCTTATATGAGTGGTTCGTCATCTACTTACAGCTATTTGGGAGATTGTTGAAAGAAGCTTCCCAAAGCTGAACTCCTATTTACAGTATAGGCTTGGAGTAAAATCCAAGTGACAGTTCTCCTGTGATGCAGCCTGACCAATTTAGAACAGTAGATGACTGACTTTTCTATCTTAGTGAATGTATATGATTGACTTATATAAAAACATGCTGTAAATCTACTATTGTTTTTAGAAAATTACTTTTATTTTGTATATCATTGCAGCAGCTTTCAAGTGAAAGGCATTGATCATTTGATAAAGCACCACTATGATCTGAGGTGCTTGTGCCGCTCCCAGTTCAGTACAAATGAAAGTGACATAACAAGCTAGTAGAATCATAGTTGATTCTATAAAACTAAAGGTTTTTCTTCTGCAGGATGAACTGTTCAAATACTTTTTATTCCCTGGCTTAGATTACCTTAATGCATTTTTGCTCAGTAATATGAATACAACAATAGTTCTATCAATATAAATAGAGGTAGTTCTTGACGTACAAATCCAAGTTATAACAGTTCTGAATGAATGGTGTTACAATCGATCCTCAGAGTTCTGGGTATTCCAGCACTCGTCTGGTCACATGATTACCACCTGGGTGCATGGAACTCATTTGCATCTACAACAAGTTGCCAAGCACCCCACTATCATATAATCGCTATTTGCAACCTTCCCGCTGACTTCCTCAGAAACTTAATGGGAAAGCCAGCAGAGAATGTTGTAAGTCACTGGAATAAGTTCCCCCATTCTCACATCATCCTCCAGCCCTTCTGCACTCATGCCACATCAGCCCCTCACACATCCCATTCATGCCACACCTCTATGCATCATATAATCTCTGAATTTATTCAGAAGAAAAAGCCAAGATACATTGCTAAACCACTTTATGAGGGAATGTTTTTATATTCTAAGGTAACTACATTGCTCCCGATCACTTACCTTTTAGAAATGTTTTGTTTTAACTGCAGATGTTATTTATTTAAGATATTGATTGTCTAATCATTCATTGGGATGCCAGTAAGAATATTCTATTGTTATATGTGTTCACACCAAGAACATGTGTTCAAATAAGAAGAGATCTTTTGAAAACTGAAATACATGGGTGATTACAGAACAAGAAGAAGTAGCAATGTAGCAGAAAGGAAAGCTTATTATAGTGTTCTAACAAATGATGACTATGAATTCAAAAAATGTAACCCGTACCATTTATAATGGAATCCAACAGGAACAGATTATACCATTCTCTTGGTCCGGTGACAAGAATAGCACGAAATGGCTATTGGAGCCACATGAAGGGCAGCAGGTACCAATCCCTTGTGTTCAAGGGCCAGACATTTTCCTCTGGTGCTGGTGACTGATTTGATAGTGACGTGGATGTAATCTGACACTCCTGTTCTTTCTAACTATCTTGACATATCACATTGGTGAACATTCTTTATCGAAACAGGATATATGTCTTAAAACTTAATTATATCTTCACAGCCTATGGCTGGCCCATTGTAATCTGCATATCTGATTTTGTAAAATTACTCAAAAAAATCCAAAAATGTTTTACTTAGCTCGCTACTTAAAAAAAAAACACCTCTAAACCATCATTTATGATATTGGATGGTACTGGAAGTGATCAGATGGCAAGAGGAATAATGTTGGAACTTTGAAGATTGAGTGAGAATTAAAATGTTGCTTTTTCTTTTTAACCTGAGCCATATAAATTGTAAATCAGATGCCCATTATTTCCAGAAAGGCAGAAAGAAGTGTAGGATAACTGGTATGGCCAGGTCCTCCAAATTCAGTTGCCTATCTCCTTCCTTGCCTATTCTCACACCTCTCCAAAATACCTTTGGCAGTTTTTAATTAGAAGACAGTTTTTAATTAGAAGACAAAAACTATGTCACTGAAGATGAGTCTCTGTGCCATAGTGCCTTTTACCAAAAAAAGGCAGTTTTTTTAAAAAAAAATTGCAGTAATAATAATATCATAAAATAAAAAGGGCTCCCCTTCATCTTGTTTTCTTAGCAATGCTATACAAAGAACAGAGCATTCCTTGCCTTAAAGTTGCTTTGAATAACATTTTATGAGAAGCACTTACATTCACATCAAGGTCTTTTTACATTCTTCAGTAAACATTAATCTAGCGTCAAATAACTTATTATCTGATGTAATGTGGACAAGTATATGTTAACTTTTAAAGGTCTAGAAAGTTTGTCATCTCTCTTAGTTTATAGGCTAAATAGTTGAAAGATATATGGAAGAAATTCTCCAAGATGTTTCAGAAATTTTTACTTTCTTAATCTGTCTCTGGAGAATGATGGCTATGCCACATAAGTTGCTTGGTATGCAGTTACACAAACACTTGTGCAGTCAAATATTTCCTGTCATTAAAAGTTGGTCAGCTACTCACTTGTTAGAACACAACCTATGTTACAGCAGCTTTGTTTTAACAGCTCTGGGCCAGCTTTTCTGCTTTCCTGCTGCTTCTGTTATTGCTTTCAAATATCTTGGTATGATATTGTGCATGTATTAACCTCTTGCTGTTTTTCTTTGTTTTTCTTTTTATGCTTTTTTTCATTAACTCAAATGACTACTATAAAACCAATATTTTTAGCAGATCTGGAAAAGTCTGGAAAGAATTATTTAAAAGAAAAGAAAAGGAATTTTTAAAGTGGAGTTTATTTCAGCTTTTTTGCTAATTAGAATTATTTGTAGTTCTTTGTCATAGTATATAATAGTGAAAGTTATAGTTATTTATAAGTCAGTTGTTAGCATGTTAATTAGTGCTGTGCAAGTAAAATATATAATCCTTCTAAAAGTTTCCATAATTAAATCCAATAATTAAAATGGTAGTTTCAGAAAACATAGATATTAGTGATACTTCAAGAATTTCTGTTGAAATACACAATACCTTCCCATACTTTACAGTTGCTTTTTTTTTAGTTCTGCAGAATCTGAAGATTTAGCTGTTCATTTATATCCAGGAGCTGTTACTATTCAAGGGGTTCTTAGAAGAAAAACTTTGTTGAAAGAGGGGAAGAAACCAACAGTAAGTTATTAAATAAATTATTTAAAATGCTTTCAAAATTGGCTTTTCCTGTTTCAAAAATATTTTAATTCACCAATGATTGCTCAAGCATTTGAATTACGTACATCTCAGTAGGTCACAAAATATTTAGAAGTCAGTTGATAGGAAAACAGGATATACAATATATAAAATGCAAATTGTGGCAGGATATCTCATGACTTATTCAAACAATCTGTGTGGCTACCCCTCCAAACTACTTCCTATGGATGGTGCTGAAAAATACGTGAGACTGGCTTCTGGTTTTGACGTCACGGCGAAGCGGATGCAGGAAGACAGGGCTCCGTCTTTGACGTTCAATTTCGCCCTGCTGGGAGACCTTGGAAAGGGTTGAAAGCCACCCCGTAGAGGCAACAAGCAAGGAGGGGACCCTCGTTGATCTCAGGGGGGTGTCAGCCCTCCCATTTGATCTGAGGAAGCCCTCCAAACTGGCACGGGAAAGACTGGCTACATTCGCGTAGCCAGTCAGAAGCTGCTGTCACCGGAAGACAACAAGCAATTTTACAGCAACATGGATGAAACTGGGTGAGACCCGAGCTTCTCTTTATGACTTTAAGACCTCTTCCTGAAAATCTACCCAAAGCACTCCCCCCGATGAGGAGGGAAGTTTACAATATAAGTTTTGGCTTTAAAAACTGAAAAACAGAGTTAATGACATTTAGTGGTGAATTACGACACTACAACTTATTATGCTTAAAAGAAACCTGGCTTGAAGCCCAGAATTAGATAAAATTCTGACTGGCCTTGGAAGCTTTTATTTTTGAGAATTGCAGCTGAGAAAAAGGAATAGACTTAGGGGCTGCTACTCTAAAATTGGCCTGTCTGAACTATGAACACAAATACTGACTTTCAGAACTGTATTGTGGAACCATTTTCCTGTAGAAGAAACATACACTATTGCCTGATATGGTGGAACATTTTGGATTATAAATCTTGATTAATAAACAACCTTTAATGGTTCTTTCTTCTTCCTGGACAGAAAGACTATATTTCTCATTGGACAGAAAAAAAATGAATTTTATTTATACTTGCTTAGGGGAGGTTTGAGAATGGATAGTTGGTTGGATAATTTATAAAGGCCACTTACAAAAAAATAAAATGGATGTTCCATACTTAGCTCTAAATGGTAAGAAACCATCCTTAACATCTGTCTCCAGAAGCCTCAGTTTGACATACCACCAAGAAAATACTGATGAACCACAGAAAGAAATTCTCTCCATGTTCAAATTAATACAAGAAACAATTGCTTTATCTCATGATGAGATTAAAAATAACACAAAGGAGATAAAAGAGCAAGTTTCTAATTGAAATCTACAAACTCAGAAAATAACTACAGAGAAGGAACTAACAACCCAGAAAATAGAAGGAAAACTAGAGAATGCTGACATAAAAATTGAGGATGAAAGGAAGAAACTAACGACCAGACTCAGACAAATGAAGACTTAGAAAACACAACGATAATATTGGAAATGGAAAAGACATTCTACAAACCAAGATTTCAGAACATACTGGAGGATAAGGAAGGAGAGCTGATGGAATGGAAGATAGAGCCGTTAATAGAACTGTGGGAAACTGGAGAAGGAGGGAGGCTGTTTAATGAATATCAATGGGCTAGTTCTTCCAAAAATACTTTTAACTAAATTGTTTCTCTTATTTCAAATAACATACATAAGAATAGAGGAAGAATTATTTGATGATCCAGATGCACTGACTTGGAAAATTAGTTGGCAAAGGAAGAAAGCTAGAGTAAGACTGAAGGAAATTGAAAAAAGCAAAAATAGGATATGGACTGAATAAATGGATATTGAGAGCAAATGCAATTAAGATATGTTTTGGTTGGAAAAGATATTCTAAACTGATATTATTGACACTATTAGAAAAATGTAACAAATGTTGATATGTAACTTTATTTACTAACAACAATAAGAATTGTATTTGCTTAGTGTGGAAAAATGTTTATTACCAGAAGAAGAGAAGATGTATTGGAGGGTATAATATTGGATTTAGTTTGAAGAATCTTACATGTACCATGGAATTACTAATGGACTCAGTCATCACATTGTCTATTAGGCACTTGATTGTAAAAATAGAAAATGAGACTGACAGTACTTCATGTCCAGAAAATAGCTTTTAATTTTAGCGGCTTGGGTATTAGTTTTACATTTGTTTGTGAACCTTCCACATCATCAGGTCAGTCATTGCAATGAACAGCTTTTGCACTGTGTAAAGCCATTATCCTATAAAATAATGTTTAACAGTCCTCAATGAATTAGCATTCGTCTGCAGAAACGCTGAGCTAATAGCAGATACAGTAGGCAAATTTCTAACATTACTAATGATTTGACATAATAATTTATTAATATTACATCATCCAGATTTGGGCAGTATAAATAAAATTTTAAAGAATATTATAGAGTGTTGTGATAGACAAATAGTCACAGTGTACAGATACTCATGATAGTTTAGAACAGGGGTTCTCAACCTTGGCAACTTTAAGACTTGTGGACTTCAACTCCCAGAATTCCTCTCACAGTTACTACTGTTGAGCAAGGTACCACCTATACTGTACCCCTGCATTTGGTTTTTCTTGCCTAAATGTAGAACATTACTTTTTTCACCATTGAATTTAATTTTGGTAGATAGTGCCCAATGTTCAAGTCTGCCAAGATTCTACTGTATGTATCTTAAGCCTATCTTCTGGAGTGTTGGCTATTCCTGCCAGCTTGGTGTCATCTGCAAATTTAATGAGTTCAAATTTGAGTTCAAAGTAGGTCTCCTCTAACCCACCATACTGTCTGGTACCACCCATCAGGAAAGTGTAAAAGCACTGTAAAATAGAACCCCCCAGCCCTTGCAGGCAGGTTAAAAAAAATTGTGGTTCATATTGTATTAGATTCTGCTAAAAGAGGTAAACAGACCAGGAAGGATGTGGTACACTCATCCATGTCCCAAATTAAATGATCCATCGGTGCAACTAAATTATATCAGATCTTTGTTACAGTCATAGACCAGCAAAGTATAACTAAAATATTTTCTGCCCTATGCCCAGACTTGAACCTTATCTGAAAGCATTGCAAGTAACCCTCTTTTCTCTACTGCACCACTATTTCCTTAGAAAAGCCAGATTAGACATTTGAAGATGATCCAGAAGGTGTAAAATCGCCCTCTTTTGGAAGATGAACACCACTGTCTATTTGCATACAGACACTTATGATGATCTTAGAAATGAAGAGATTTATTTTTAAATTTAATCTAAATTTAAGTCAAGATTATCTTGCTAATCCCCCTTTTTGTTTGATAAGCTTTGAATAAGTAGATATTGATCTCCTGCCATGACAGCCAAAAGTAACTGGTTGTCCCTGAACTCCCTATGAGATATAAGGAGTTCCAAAAATATGCATTAAGATTTTTTACCCTGTAGGCCAGTCTTAACATATAAGCCAACGATATAGACCAGTGTTTCTCAACCTTGCCAATTTTAAGGCATGTGGACTTCAACTCCCAGAATTCTACAGCCAGCATTGCTGGCTGTGGAATTCTGGGAGTTGAAGTCCACATGCCTTAAAATTGGCAAGGTTGAGAAACACTGATATAGACTATAATGAAAATTCTTTAGCAATAAAGGATATAATGGCTTGTAAGTATGTATCTCTATAAATAGTTGTACCAGTGCTGTAACCAGCATGTAGAACTGCCCAGTTTGGAAAGGATTTTTCAATCCTACATTGGTTTGGTGGCTCACAACATACTTTTGGTTTTCTTGGTGATCCTCAAGCCCTAGATTGGAAAGAGATGTTATTTGTTGTACTGGTTTGCTCTTGGGGTGACTTAAGACACATTGCAGTTTGGGAATCCTGAACCAATGCCAAGTATATGTTTTTAAATTTCCATGTTTACTAAAGTAGATGAATACACAAAATGTTATTATATTACAGCATATAATGTGGATTACAGCTAACAATATCCTAAAAGTCTCATTCTGTTTAGTTAATGTGTAAACTGGCTAGGAGTAAAATATATACAAAATTAAGATGCAATGGCAGATACCTTTTGAATTTATTAACCTTGTGACTTTCTAATCATCTAGGTCGCTTCTTGGACCAAATACTGGGTGGCTCTGTGTGGAGCACAGCTTTTCTACTATGCTGCAAAGTCTTTAAAGGCTACAGAGAGAAAACATGTGTGTATTGTATTCTTGCTTTTAGCTTTTGGCAGAAGGGTTTTTTCAGCCTTTCAGTGTGAATGCTGCACATTGTGCAACACTGAATTGCCATCGTTCTATAAACTTCATATTGTCAATATATGTTATTCATTTGCTTCCTCTATGTTAATCTTGAGCTTTGCTGCAAGCAAGTTGTAGTGATTTTTAAAACTAATTCCAAAATTCCTGCTGTAATTGTTGCAGAAAGGTACAAGCAGCCTTATAATTCAGTTCAGTTTTTCTGTGCATGGAAAAATAGCAACTTTCAGCCCACACAGGGAGATTCAAAGAGAAAAGGGGGTTTCCATAATTGACATAAAACTTGCTTATGTGACACCGCTGTTTGTGGATCAAGGTCCAGTCCCACATTAACTCTGGAATATATAAAATACTGTATCCCTTTTGAGTTTACTTAATCTGTGTTGCATTACAAAAGCCAGCAGATCAACTCTGCTCTTCTTGTTGCAGCCATTATTTTTAATGCAAATATTGCAGTACTCTTTTTGTTTTTATTTTATTTTCATTGATGTTTCCCCCCCCCCCCACTCCTACTCTTAGTTCAAATCTACACCAAGTAAGAATGTGTCAGTAGTGGGTTGGATGGTTATGATGGCTGATGATCCAGATCATCCGGATCTTTTCCTACTCACAGATTCCGAAAAAGGTCAGTAACATTAGTTACTAATAGTAAATTCTTGATTTAATCGTCTTTAGAAATGACTAACAGTGCAGTATTCACCTTTGTCCAAATTAGACATTAGCAGATTTTGCCCCCCAAATATTCAAAGTCTGTTGCAATCAGTTCAGAAAGTATTCAGTGCTCTCCTTCAAATTGAGATTCAGTATTAACCCATTTTACTGATAATACTAAATCCCATTTCGAAGGGAACAGTGAATATTGTCTGGACTTTTCATTTGTGACTTGAACAATCATTTGGCATTTAATGGATACCTCTTCCTTGTTATTGGACATCAGTGATTGTTATTAAAAGAAAATTAAATTTAACTATCATGTTGTTACATTCAACAGATACCTTTTCCTTGTGATTAATTGTTAAATCAATTATAGCAAGTCTTCAGTTTGCATTTAAGGATAGTTCAAAGTTACCACAGCTTATGAAAAAATGACTTATAACATGTATTTGCATTTATAACTGTCACAGCACCTCCACTGTCATGTGATTGCAATTTGGACACTTGACATCTGGCTCACATTTTGCAGCATCCTGCAAACACGTGATCATTATTTGTGTCCTTTGTTGCCGATTTCCAGCAAAAAATGGCCATGTGATTCATTTAATCACGGTGATTCACTTAATATACACCATAAAAATTGTCATAAAATCATTCTGGCTCGACTTTCAACCACAATGACTTACAATGGCAATTCTGGTCCATTTTTGGTTGTAAATCAAGGATTCCTGTACAAAATTTACTTCAGATTTTAATTATAGTAGTGAGGTGTGATGCAACAAAGTGAACGGGGTCATAATTCTTGAAGACAGGACTAAAAAGAATTACATAAACCATTAATAGATATTTATTTATCTATTGTTGGAAAGTCATTTTGAATGTTTTAATCAAATTACCTTCTTTGAAAACAAAAATCTATCTCAAGTCCCCCAAGAACTAAAGATTGATGAGGGGAATTCAGAATGCAAGCAGTGTGAGGTTAGTTTTTAGTTTAATAAGTCATCTGACCTAAACAGTCAAAATGGAGAAATGATAGAGCAGGGGTGTCAAACTGCCAGCCCGCAGGCTGGATGCGTCATCGGGAAACTACGCCCACCCCATTGCTGACAATGGCGAAAAAGCTCCGATACATTGTGCAATGTCACGTGACGTCTCGAGTTTGACATGTCTGTGATAGAGCATCTGGTCTGGAGTGTTATTATAGCAGCTCAGAAACTTTATATGCCAGAAAGATGAATCTCAGGTGGATTTTGCCGCCTTACCAAATAAGTGAGAGGTTACCTAATGAGTGAATAATTTGTGATGGAGATGACTTTATATTACAAATAAAACTTCTTGACTTATTCCATTAAAGAAATATTGGACATATGGGGTTTTCTCCCGTGTAAGATTAGAAGTATCATAGCGACGTTTCGATGAAATCACATTCATCATCATCAGGCTTGTGCTTTTAGCTTTGTGCTTCTCAGTGTAATATGAAATGTCTGCTGTTTCTTTCTTTTAACTGCCAGTGGGGTTTGAACTGAGGGGGCGGGGACTTGGTCGTGTTCTGAATGGGTGGACGTGTGC